ATTCACAACAGGCAAAGTACAAAACACAGATGATAACTTCACAGTGCAAGCATAGTTAGGCCGTCTGAGAAGAAATAATGTGGTATCCCTTCCAGTTTGAAATTAGTAAGAATATAGAAGATAAACTGGCTCCTAGGTGTCTGGTTACTCCTTAAAACCTTCAGTTTTTCCTGGTTGTTGATCAGTCTCTTGAGACATTCCAAACCAGATAATCCTTTGTTCCTGAAAGAGGTAATTCATTTAAATTGAACCTGTTTAAATAACAGTATTTCTCCTGTCAATTATGGCTTGGGACTCTCTTGATTTACACAATTAAAAAACTGCTTTGAAGAGGCTGGACTAAGGGTATAAGAAAGCTGTAAAGCAGCAAATAGTGTGTTTCAAGATGGAGAAATCTCTGACACCATCTGCTGTTGCTCTCAAAAAAATCTGGGATAAACAGATATTCTTTTGGTTGCCCATTTAACCTTCCACAATCGTGCTACAAACTCTGCCTGTCAACAAAACACCTGAGTGCCTTGAAATGGTGAGATCCCAGCTCTCTCTCTCTTTAGGCATAGCTTTCTGAACCTGTATTTTATTAAGTAAGCATGAGCCCTAATCCATATTGCCCAAATACTCACCTGAACCAGGGTAATATTGTAATTATTTTTGTTTGTTTTTCCTTGCATGGCTATTACTACTAGTACCATCATAAATTTAATATATTTAGCAATAAATAACTTCTATAGTCAAGCTGGTGGTAACTGGCTGAATTTTTCCTTCTCTCCTTCCCCTTTCCCACTTGCTCTGCAGCGATGCTTCTTTCACCTACGACAAAGATCCCTGCAAAGTCCCAAAATACGTGGGGTCTGCTCATCAAGAGGCTACCACTACTAGGACAGTCAGGGCAAAAGATTGGGACGTGCTGAGTTTAAGACACATAAGGGGGTCAGCTTGTACAGGCTGATTGGCCCAGTTTGGCTCAGACGTGCCTTAATGAACCAAATACTGGCCCAAGAGGGTGTCAGCTGGACACCTAGCCTGATTCAGAGGTATTCTGTTCACCTGTGTGCTTGTGTCCAACCTCATTTTATTGTTGCCCTGATGAACTGATTCCTGGCATATGAGGGTGTCAGCCTGTACATGCTGATCAACCCAGCTGGGTCAGGTATGTTATGTTAATGTGTGTGCATGTGTGTATGTATTTGATTGAAATGGTGGCTGGAGGAACCCAGCCCCATTGAAACTGAGTCCTGCAAGATAGCTCCATTGGGGTGAGGACTTGCAGAAGGAAGAGATACAGCTCCGCATAGAAACACAAGTAACACAAGCAGTACACTGATAGAAATAGAGACCCCAGAAACACACCCCTAATAAATGAGTACACCCCAAAAGTGACAGGCAAATCTGGTAACAGCTGGCAGTGGGTACATGTGTGCCTTGGGGTGGATATCAGGGAAGGGGCCAGGGCTGCAATGCCACAAGAAGGATCAGGCCCATTGTAGCTCTCCCTCTATCTGCCCCAAGGGCTGGCGTGCCAAGCAAAATGTCTTCACATGCCATACACTGGCATGTGTGCCGGGGGGTTGCTGACTCCTGCTCTAGAGATACCAATTTTATATTAACAAAATTGGTTATAGTTTTAGCCATGCTTGCACACAGGGAATGCTGCCCTTTACCTTGAACTGTCCATCAGAATCAACAGAAACGCTTAAGGAGTAAACCACTACTTTACAAGAGGTTGGAAGAAGGCGGCCAAAGTTTTCATATCAAAACACTGACAAACTGTTCTGGACCACTTCAAGTTGTCAAGGGCAAGCCACTCAAAATGATCGGAAGCAACTGTATAACTGGATTAATGGAGGCTTTGTAAATCCTATATGCTAGTTATTAGAGTGATGGAAGTGCATCCACATAAAAGTAAAGGTTAGATTAGCCAAACATGGTCTAGTAAAACTTACAAGCGTGAGAATCTGTTTTTATTGTGTTCTAATGGAAACCAATTTCCACATCAGCAGCCTGCAGCACTATCTGGGGTGCAAGTGAGTGAAGATTACTCCTCAGACTTTGGAGATAACTTTTTGAAATGCAACTTAAAGCAAGACATCCAAATCATTAGTAGTATTATTTCTTTAATTAAACAAGACTTTGAACGAGACCTCCAGTAGCCAAAAGCAGATTTTAAGACTTGTTACTATGCACCAAAAACAGCGATTGCAAGGTTTTAATTTTGACAGTCCCTGGTCCAGACAGCTTGCGGCTGAGACAAAGAAAGACAAAACGGCATGGGGAGACCAAACAAAAATAGTATGGTATTTTTAGGGCAGATATTATATACCAATGCTAATGCATCTGACTGTGTATGCTGTTATATATAGTACCAAAACTAATTAACTAGTCCTAGGTTACTGGTAGGTCTCTATGGCCATGTCCACACGAGCATGGACGTTTATTTCCCCAGGGACAAGAAGCAGCTGGCACCTTGTGCTGCTGCTCCTTGTCCCTGGGCAATGCCTGTGCCATGGAGCAGGTTACCTGGGTGAGGTAGGGGAGGCTGGGGCCAGTAACTCTGCTGGTGCCAGCAGCCTTACCTGGGCTCCAGGTAAGCTACAGCTGCAGTGCTCCTGCAGCAGGAAGCCTGGCTGGAAGCCAGAGTGTGGCACCAGCTGGCCATGGTTTGGTTTTGGGCAGCATGCTTTGCTGCCATGTGCGCCGCCACTCCTTTTTCCATGAGGGTTCTTTTGACCCCATGATCTCCCAGGGTCCAAAAAAATCCCCTACACTGCAAGGCAGCAGTGCAGAGAACGCCTGAATGTGTGTTGCATGGTGCCACATACCACATGGCTGCACTCATCTGGACATGGCTTATCCATTGTCACCAGACAATACCAAGAAAATAAGTCTCAATGTGGAACAGAATCACAAGAATGAAAAACAATAATCCTAAACTTCAAAATATTTTAATGGTGAAAGAGAGAGAAATCAATGGGAATTTTAGGTGCAGAGCATTTGCCAGACTTAACACCATGTACTCAAAACACCATTATCTATTCACTTTGTCAGCTAAGAAAAAAACCACAAATGGATAGTCTGAAAAACTGTCAAATACACTTTACTACAGACACAGAGGAGGGATGAGAAGAGAAGTAAAACCAGTGAACATACACATTTTTGCAGATTCTGCTAACACCTCCAGATGGCATTTACAAAATGTCATAAGCAGGGATCCTGGTTTTACCTGTTAAAAAGAAACCCCCAATTTTCAGATTAAAAAACGTAACCCAAAATCCACATTTTTCCATGATCAAAATGAAACACTATTCTCTCTCTCTATATATAATGAAGGGTATGTATGTTCACCTATAACTCAAGAATGGTTGGTCCTATCTATGCTAAACCTTCCCATATCACTGAATACCACCTGAGGAAAATTATAGGTAGGTTATTTGTCACTTGACCCTTTGTGGGGTTTCCAGTCACTATTTAAAAGAACGCTGTTCACATGGACAATTATATGTGGCTTGCTCCAGAGATGCTAGTCAAAGAGGGCTGCATATACTGTTGCCAACAGGAAACACTGCCAACACTGTTTACAAACAAGTTCTACAATAAAGATCACTTATTCAGATGCCATTTGAAATGCCAAACCGGTGTTAAATATGTTGCACCAAGTCCTTTAAAGACAAACAACATTTTTGACCTAAATATGTAGCAAGTGTTTTGAAAACAAACAATATTTTTGGCCTAAACATGTACCATTTGTTTTCAAAGCACTTGCTACATGTTTAGGCCAAAAACATTGTTTGCAGTCTTTTGAAAACAAACAATATTTTTGACCTAAACATGTACTAAGTCCTTTGAAAACAAAGGACTGCAATTACAAGAATAATGACCTGGGTAAAGAACAGGTCCTTCTGCTAGTATATCTATATATTAGTGGCGTTTCATTTTAATCACAGAAAAACATGGATTTTGGGTTAGTTTTAACTCGAAAATTGGGTTTGTTTTTTTAAATCAGGGAAAACCAGGATCCCAGATCATACCGAGCATTTCAGCTTCTTTATGCTGGTCTTATCCCAGCAACACCTTATTGTCAGGACAGTGACAGCACAGGTTAGAACCAGCTTTAGCCCTCTGCACCCGAATGCTCTTGGTGCTCGCCAGGGCGCTGTTGCCTCTGAGCCGCAGGGAGCACTACCTGCCACAGGGGCTGCAGGAAACCCTATCCTGTGCAGGGCCGGCTCCCCCCACCCCGGCTCACACCAGTGTCTGGTGCCCTCTGCTGGGCTATTTTTTTAAACTCTTGCCAAAAAATTTAAAAAGTAAAAAAAATTTTAAAAATTCTTTTTTTCTACTTTTTAATTTTTTTATTTTTTAAAATAAAAAAAAATTAGAACTAAAATTAACAGACGTTCCCCCCCTCAAAAAACGCCCACCCCCCCGTGCACTTTAGACCCTTCCGCCAAGCCCGCGCGCTTCAGCGCGGCCTTTTTGGCACCTTTACCTGAGGGGCGATAACTGGGGATGGGGGAGGGGAACCTCACCTCGGGACCGGGACGCTGAGAGACCCACGACCGCCGGCGCAACCGCTTCGAGAGGAAGTGATGCACACAGCCTCGCTCTGGCACACCAGGCGCGGGTCACGTGCGGCAGCGCTTCTGAGCTGGGGAAGGAACAAGTTCAAGCTCGGCCCGGCATCAACCCACCCAGTCGACGAGCAGCAAGCCAATGAAACGCTGGGGAACGCACAAGGCCGCCAATCGCATCTAAACGCAAGGGGCCAATCACCGTGCCTTTTCCATTTCATTTCATTTCATTTTTTTAATTTTTTTAAATTTTTTTAATGTTTCCCTGTGGTGGCCAATCCCGGCTTGTGTTACAAAAGCCAACGGCGTCCCGCAGTAGAGCCCCGCCCCTCCCATCTCTGGACAGCCAATCACGAGGCGGGTTTGCACGCGCGGGGGCGGGGCCGCGCTATAAAGTGGGCGACGGCCACAGGTCTCCTCATCTGGGTTCGCGATGCGGTTGCTGGTGGGGCTCGGTGGTTTCCCCTTATTTCTTCTCCTCCTGCTGGGGCTACTGAGCCTCGGCCGCGCCCGCCGCCCACCCGCGGCCTCCCGCCCGGCTGCTTCCTACCGCACTTGCCACCTCCCGCAGCAGGTAGGAGCCTCCTGGGGCTGCATTCCTCTGGGCGGGCCCTGCCTGGGGGACCCTGCACCTGCCCCCCATCCCAAGTCCCGGGACCTCCTGCTTAATTTCCTCCTCCGGCCCTGGCGAAACTCCCTGTGGAGCAGGTGGTGGCGCTTGCCCTGACCCTCGCTCCGGTGCCCGGTTTTCTTTTGTCCCCAGAGATGAGTTGCTGCTCTTTCAGTAGCTTCCCCTTCTATGAGAGACGTTGGTAGGACAAGCCCCTGAAAGGGACAGCCAGGCCTGTTGCACCCTAGGGCAGAATGCGGAGGCTGAAGGGACCTGGGCTGACCCAGGGTGTTCTTGGCTGTTCCTCTCTTGCTTGCAGCTTCCAGTATTTAAGGTGTAGGTCTAAGCTGGTGGTACGGGTATGGCCGGTGGTACGCAGACAGCCTGTCAGCGGTGCGCCTGAACTGACTTGTCATAGTGACTGCAGTCTGTATGTCTGTGCTGGCTTGTAATTTCATGACTTTATATGATGCATGTTTGCTGGTGGTACTTAAGGTTGCATCCTTTTAACTTGGTGGTGTGCAGTGTGTCTGAGTTTCTGAACCGCTGGTTCAGATTTGGAGGCTGCACCCCTCACTCTTTTTCTCTGAATTAACATATGGTTTCCTTGCAGCTTTTGTGCATGCTCGGTGTATCATACTGGCCTCTAATCATTTCACTTGTTTGTGCCACCTGCATCACTGCTTCCTCTTAATGTCAAAGTTTGAGTTGTCACTACATCCTCTTGCAGCGTGCTTACTGACGGGTGACAAAGAATTGGCTGACTTTAATTCTGTTTAAAGCATAGATTGCCCCCCTTTGTTACAAGCCGGTGGACTCTCTCTGTGGGTAAATTGCTTTCTTTTTTTATTTAAGATCCATCAGGGCATGGAGATGAAATAAATGGGCAGTCTGCTCTCAGGACCTTCAAGGGGCTGTGTGACTTCTTTCACTTCCTCCTGGAAGAGCAGAGATCTGCTGATGTCTGTACCAGACTGATGTTTGTATTGTGTTTTTTGAGCTTCAAAATGTACAACGTCATTATTAGTAAGACATTAAGAAACAAAATAACACCCACTGGGCAAATTCAGCAGCAGTGTCTTGTTGAAGCCCCTCCCTTTTTAATCTACTGAGACTTGTCTTACCGTAATAATTATGATCATTAAAGACAACAGTAAAGGGCAATCTAGAATTAGGTCCTGTTGTGTTAGTTGCTGAGTAATTGCAAAACTTTTTGCCTTGAAGTGCCTAGGATCTTAAGTTTGGGGAGGGGGAAGGGGTTATTCACAACAAAGTCTGTTAGTTCCTCAAATTTTTTAGGGGAAGGTTGTAGCAAGTGGGAAGGGAAGGCTTATGCGGGGAAGAAGGCAGAAAGGATAGGCATGGCTTGAGGGGAAGAAGTGGAAAGGAACAAGTATATTGACTGTACACTTGTCCCAGCAGTCTGAGTGGGGTAGAGAAACTCCATCTGGGGCAGCAAAAAATTAATTGCCAAAGATCCCTCGTTTGGTTATCATTCTTTTTTGGATCTGTAGCTGGTCCTCTACTCTTCCACCAAGCCCAGGTCTTGTGGGGGCCAGCAAATACTATCTGGTATCTTTTTTTGCCCGAGTGGTGGGGGTGATTTTTTTTTTTTTGTGGCACTGGAGAAGTGGAGTCTTGGGTCTTGCTCTCCCAGTACCTCCTGGAACTGGAAATGTGAAAGGGAGGCTTTATTTCTTATGTTGTGCTTGAATGCTGCTGTAGTTCTTCATTTTTCTGTAAAACACAAATATCATGTCCCCGTAGGAGGGTACAGAGTTACATTAGAGTGAGCAGTCAAGCTTCATATCCTCACTTTACCATACCTAGGTACATGTCTTTTAATGTTGGCTCTGGAATTAAGCCTCCTCTCATCTTAAAGCTATGGGATGTGGTTGGGGAGAGATTTAATAAGGGTTCCAAGTGCCACTAATTTCTGTCATTTCTGGCTTGTGTTCCCACACTCCCTGGGACTTTTCTCTTTCAGCAGTTTCTGCCCACAAAAAGGGAAAATTCCTGCCTTTTTTTTTTTAAAAAAAACCCTATTTCTTAAAACCACATGGTGAGTTTTATTTAAAAATGTAGACAAAAAGCCTGCAAGCGGTATGCTAACTTTCCAGTTGCTAATTAAAAGCACCACAAGTTCTGATCCTTGGTAACAGGAAAACTGCCCTGACCCCTCTAATAGGTTTAATTATCTGGGGGATGAGCAGTTTGGTGGTTGTTGGCTAATGTAGGTTTGGCACGCTTTGCTCTCAGGTTACACTGAAGCCAGAGTTGAGTGCTGGACCTCCAGCTAATGAGGTGGTGTGGTTCTGGCGGAGAGCACCAGCATAGTGTGGTGTTTCCATGAATATAAATACAGTTCTGATTTTTTTTTCTTTAGCACCTTCAGGGATTCGGTGTGTTCAGGTTCCTGCTTCTGTGTCTTAACACTTAGTTGAATGTCAACACAGGAAACTTTCAGGCTATTGGATCATGTATTGTGTAAAGATTGAATGTTTACAATCAAGGGCACTAGAATCGCGTGTCTTCTAGCTATGTTGCTGACTAACACTTACCTCAGGCCAGTTTCAATATCCTGCCCTCAATTTTACATGAAACTTTTTTTTTTTTTCCTCCTTGCCCAGATCTATGCCACCCCCAACAATCCTCTATTCATTTACCTTTCTCTAGAAGTGCAAAGTTTCAAGAAGTTAAGGGCTCAAATCTGTGCAGGTAACTTGCAGAGACAATAGGGCTGATGCATGGGTAATCAGGTCTGTTTAGCTCATCTCTCTATACTGTGGTTAACAAGGATGTTCTCATGTACAGATTCTGTTTCAGAACAGAAACTATGCATCACAGAAATACTTCATGGGATCTTTTAGACTGAGCATAGAATTCCAGTGGGTAAAATTGCTTTCTTTAATCTGTACTAATCTCTAAAAGACCCTCTGGGAATCTCCATAAGATTGGGCCCCTAATATAGTCCATGGCCTGTTGTGACCTTCTTAGAAAACTTCTAAAAAGGTTGCGTAACTATATTGTCTCATAGTATATAATTAGAAGTTGTAATTCCTACTCTGTAATATATTTTGAGCTTTAACATATTTTAAACTAAGACTCCTCTTTTTTTTTTTTTAATTCTTTAAATAAGCCTATATAATGGTGATTACTTAAAAAAAAGTCCTCTTTTTTTTTTTTTTTTTTAACTTTAAAATCTGACACACACTGTTTTATCTACCCTACTGGCAGAGATGGGTGTCCTCCTTCTCGAGCAGGGGTGTCAAACTTATCTGGCCCCATGGCCAGATGAATGGCACATGGCTGGCCCCCTGGGCCAGATTGAGCCCATGGAGCTGGAGCTTTGCCTGCTGTTCCCCCAACCCTGTGCATCCCAGACCCTCCATGTGGAGCCTGTCCAGCATGCAGTGCATGCTACATGTGGGTCCACACCAGACCCAGGGGCAGCACTGGAGGCTGAGTAATGGGGCTGTCTGTTTCATAGGCTGTGCATTTGACATACCTGGTTCAGTGCTTTAGACTA